ACTTGTTAGGAGTTGATGATTTTGTTTAGATCATTACTATGGAAGGAGAGAAAAAGATTATGATGTTTATGATAAGATGATGAATAACTAAGGATTGAGGCTCAAAGTTGTTTTCATATACTTAGATTGATTTGGTATGTAGATCCAAATTGATGTTGATGTAGATGCAAGTGTAATGAAATGAAAATTAATTTAATCATGTTATTATTGTGAAAAAAAAAAGTGAATTACCCGAGGTTAAAGAAACCCAAACGAAGTAGTAGGGGTTTAAAACACCCTGGAAGTAAAAAGGGTTTAAAATCCCAATAAAATAACAGAGGTTATAAAGTCACATGTAAAAATAACTATTCTAGCAGTTACTAAAAGTCGTCGATAATTTGTTAGCGGCACTGGTTCTTCCAGGGGAAAGTGAGGACTGCTAGTTGCACTTAATGGGGTTTAAAAATCTAGAAAACGCTAAAAATGCTATTACCAAGTCTTGATGAGAGAGTCTTTACTTAAGGGATTGTTAATGTGACGTAAGCTTTAAAATGAATTCTCTTAGTTAAACACGATGAATGAACTTTCCTTGTAACAAATAATTATATAGATATTCATAATTAACTTTAAACTATGTCCACGCGTATAAATGTTTATCAAACATAAATATGAGATTGCAAAATTGTTTGACAAATAAAACACTCACCTCTTTCGTTATTTGTTGTTTTTAATAGGCTTAATACCTCTTTTGGTCCCTCGAAAGGGGAGGAATGTTCAAGTGCGTCATAAGTTTTTTAAAAAGTTAAATGTGGTCCCAACTTGTGAAAAAAGTGTGCAATTAAATCCTTTTTTGTCATAGTGTTAATTTTTTAACGGTGTAATGGACAACATGGATTGAACAGTACGACGTGTCTATTTTATGTGAATGTTGGCTTTCTGAGGTAAATGACGTGTAAAAAAATATATTTTGAGGGGTAGGGGCTGTTTGCTCTGTATTGAAGAAGATGCAGATGTTGATGGAAGACTGGCGATGAAGGATTTACTTGCAGGTTCGAAGAGTTCGCGATGGGTGACTTTCATCATACCCATTTAGGTTCAACTTCACGCCTCATCCTACCCATCCTACACAATGCATCAAGTTCATTCTCAACCACTTTCAATACCAATAGATACCCAACATCAAGATACCAACTCGTGATCTTCATCTAATCTCAAGATTTTCTTTCATCTGCACAAAAAAAAATGGATCAAAGCACAAACAAATCCCTCAAATTCAGTACATTCAACCCAAGAATACATCCCCAATCTCCCAATTTCCACTTAGTTGGCAAACTCTAAACTAGCCATCCCAACCCCCATCCACATCCTGTCTCCACCGCAACCGTGAAGCTCCCACCGCCGTCGCTCACCACCGCCGTCGCTCACCACCAAGCTTACCGTCGCCAGCATACTGTTGTGAGTCGCGTGACCGCGACCCCAAACCCTTGCGCAATGACCGTGACCGCGACCCCAAACCCAAACCCCAAACCACCACCAAGCTTACCGTCGTAGGAGACATGGTGTCTCCGGCATGCTTCTCATTCTTCTAAAGAGGCCAAACGGCCAACACCTTAACTCGCAGCAGGTCACCTTGCCACCTCCTAAAGGCCTCCCTTCTCTTGCTCATTCTCACGGAGGAAACCCTAAGACGGGTTTGGGCTTGGCCCATCTTCAACGCAAGCAAGCAACTATATTCTCTGTCAAATTTTTTTTTTTTAAATTTAAATTTTACACGTTACTTCCACGTAATGATATAAACTAGACACGTAATTATGTTTTGTCCACGCTGTCAGTTGTACCGTTAAAAATTAACGCCATAACCAAAAAGGATTTAATTGCACACTTTTTTCACAAGTTAGGACACATTTAACTTTTTAAAAAACGTAGGACGCACTTGGACATTCTTCCTTTCAAGGGATAAAAAAGATATTAAGCCTTTTTAATAAAGTTTGCATCTTACAAACGAAATACAACTGTGTTTTATACTTTCAGTACTTAATAAAAATAATGGATATGTTATACTTTTTCATTAGCACTTTCTCATGTTCTTATCACATGAAAGCATGCCTACCACAATTCCAATAAAATATATAACAATTTGTTTGGAAACTCATACACAAATATTACTAGCCAACACACGAAAATCCACACACGGAAATCCATAAGTCTGTCCCAATCTTGCAAGTAAAAAGAATTCTAAAAAGTCACTATAATCCTCCAAAATTAAGACTAAAATAGACATAAAAAAACATGTCTAAAAAGATGTTTCTATTATCTAACACCAAAATACACATCAAATAATTATCTTGAATTACTAGATTCAAATTCTATGTTGTATTGAATTATATTAAAATCATTATTAATTCAAATTAAAGACAAAATTATACTAATATCATTGTTAATTCTTTTTTTACATTTATAATTTTTCCAAAAATATATAAATGAATATTCTGATCTCTTCGATCATATTTATTAAACACAAAATTTATTTATCTTCTTTTCCTTATATACAAATTACAAAATACAAAAAAATGAACTCTATTATTCAATCAATTTTATGATTAATTTATTCACAATTTAACCAAAAAGTTGATTGAATATATTTTTTATCGATGAATAAATATTTAAATTATTATTTACATTTTTTCATTCTAAATACCTAATATATTTATTTCTAACTTTTCTTCATTTTCCAAATACATTTTTCTAATATTAAATATTTTAGTTCAAAAACCTAAATAATTACTTTTTAAAATTACAACATTTATTTATATTTTAATGATTATATTCATATTTTATAAAAAGCTCTAAACCGGAATTTGATTCCTACTCGAATTTCGACATTGCGATCTAAAACACACAAATTATAGTTAACAGTTAGCTTGTCAAACACTGAGTTCTGATAATGAATAATAAAATGCGTTATTATTGCAAACAATATTTGTAGTGTTATTTAAGGAATTAAAAAAAGAAACAATACTATAACAGAAAAGAAATATAATAGAATTCAGTAAGTCACGTTATGTATGTTTAAAATGTAATAATACTTTCCATAAGCTCTAATACAATTATATTTTATTTATTTCTCAAAAAGTCACACTAGCCTAAATTAAATAACAATAGTTCTGTATATTATTGAAAGGTCTTAACGAAACGATACAATTTTTTTTGTTAGAAAATCTTCTAATATCTAAATGTTTTTAATTTAATGTATACCCTTTTTAGTTTATGTATCGTATGATAGGATGATTAACTTTAAATTAGATGATTTAAACAGTTATAATGCTACAAATTTGTCTAGGTGTTATTCTTGAGATTAAATGGTTGTGATCAATAGCCCGAACAACCAACATGTTTCTTGGTTCGGATGCAGTTAGGTAGGGACAACATTAAGTCCTCTTAGCACGCTTATCTATAAATTGTTGAATGGGAGACAAACAAGCAGGTCTTTGATAAGAATAAAAGAAATTCCTTGAGGTTGTCCCCTGTCATGAAAGACCTGCTCGTCCCAAACGACGAGCTTAAAGAACTTAGCGTTCTCCAAGGATTCTACTACTGTAGTTCGCCTAGTGAACCATTTGAGACTACTCCCTATGCTTAAGCAAGACACGTACTCCACAACTTCATGGGGTGCCCAATCCTAACTTGGAACGGTTGATAATGGCTCTAATGAACCATCTACTTCTTCGTCGCATCAACTTCTATTTCCATGATGACCTCCTCGTCGCCCCGAGACATGACCTTATTCCTATTTATAATGGTCACCTTGTCAGCAGACTCTGCATCCCACTTGGTTGACCCTAGGATGGAGCAATCAACCAATGATAGAAGAAAAAACACCATCTGCATATCCTCGACCTCCTTTTCCTTCAAACTTCTCAAACGAAGAGACATAGACGATCGACAATATTATTTGATAACAAGAGAGATGTGGATGCTCGGTTATTCGAGAAAAGTGGAGAATAGTGGTGAAAATGATGTCGAGTAGGGACATCCTAATGGGCTATCCTCGGCCATCTGATCGAGCTAAATTTAACGATCCATAGTGTGCGACTCTTTATTTTTTGGAGCGCATGAATACCAATGTGCCACATGTCTCTATTCCAACAGTTATAACTTTCTCTATAACTATCATATCCCCATGAATCACGACGATCAGTTTTGACCACTAAGACAAGCGAGGCACCACAGAACACGATCGAGACAATCTTCATCGCAAACCCCTTCACCTATCATGATAGTCTCCAGTTTATAAGGGTTGTGTACATATGATCATTCGGTCAACCTTGGACTGGATGGTCCAAATGGCCAGCCATGCCACAAACTTGACTAGGTGTTACTCCTAAGACTGTTGCGATCAATAGATCAAACGATCAACTTATGGAGATTACCTATAACACCGATCCTTTTAAGATAAAGTATGATTATTACCCATTGAGTCATAATTAGGCCATTACTGATCCAAAGTCCATTCCAAAATTTACCAATACAAGTAAATAGGTAGATGATGACATTTAATACGCATTAATAGCTCAAATTATCTAATATATATTGATTTTCACATCGAAATACCTTCTACAAGTAACTTTCTAGTATGACATACAAACAATAAGGACAAACAATAAAAACAAACGGTAGGATGAAAACGAGCATTTAAACCTCCAACAATCTATACAATAGTAAATCAGTTCACCTCAACTCTACAAACGGTTTAAATAATATTGAATATTTTTTATTTAATAATATAAAATAATATTGGTAAGGATATTTCATTCAACAATTTTTTTCATATTTTGTAATGAATATGGAGCCAACCACTTTTTACGAAATTATGGTTATTACAAAAATAATGAAAATTGTAATATTAACCTTTTCTTTAAGTTGGATGGTATAATTTTCTTTATCCTAATGTATATTATTTATTTGTAGCATGTTCGCTTATATATTGTCAGCCTGTCACCAAGTCGATCTTCTTCGCTCAGACTTAGCCCGAAGCTCCAGTACCAACCAAACCTAGCCGTCACAACGAACAGAAAAAGGTACACCTTCTCCCATTTTATCTCTTTTCCCAATTTACCCTGTATCTTCCGTCAAACCCTGACAACCATTTCCACGCCTTTTCTTTTTCTCTTTGTTCAATCTTTCAAATCCTACACATTACCATTATTCATATTTTTATTTTTTACCCTAGGGTTTCCTCGTGCTCGATATTTCGTATTTTTGCAAATTAAAATAAACTTACCGAAAATCCCCCTTCCCCAAAATTAGGTTTTGGTATTATTTATTGGCGATTGGTGTTTAAGGTAGGTTTGATGGGGGATCGGGGTTCGAGCGCCGCGAAACCGATTTGGATGAAGCAAGCGGAGGAGGCGAAGCTGAAGAGCGAGGCGGAGAAGACCGCGGCGGCGAAGGCGGCTTTCGAGGCCACGTTCAAGGGTTTGGAGAAGAATCGGGAGAAGGGTGGTGGTGTCGTTCAATCGGACAGCGAGTCGGAGGAGTACGAGGACCTGGCTCATAAGCCCATTGGGCCCGTCGATCCCTCCAAGTGCACTGCCGCGGGGACCGGGATCGCCGGTGGAACGGCGTGTGCTCCGTCATCGTTTGTGGTGGTTGCTAAGGACGCCGATGAGAGGAAGGTTTCCAATGGGGGTGCGCAAATCAAGGTGAGGGTGACGCCCGGGTTGGGTGTTGGAGGGTCTGAACAAGAGGGAATGGTGAAGGATATGGGTGATGGAACTTACACTGTGACATATGTGGTGCCCAAGCGAGGGAATTATATGGTCAGTGTTGAGTGTAATGGGAGGCCTATCATGGGGAGTCCCTTTCCTGTGTTTTTCAGTGCAGCAGGTACTACTTTCCCTTTTTCAATGTAATGTATATGATGCTCTGATGTGGTTCTTTTGAGTTGTTCTAGGTTTGGTTATCAATTCCATTTGAATGGTTTTTATATCATTTGTTGTATTGGTTTGTCTGGTATAATGGGTACTGATAAAACAAACAACAAAAGTCTTATTCCCCCAGTGGAAGTTGGCTACATGGATCACATTATTATAACATTTGATCAGTTAAATGTCTGTTGTGAGTAATTCATGTTCAGTATATTAATGGGTCTTACTTTGTCTGGCAAAGGCTTAATGCAACCCTCTTACTTTGCCTTGGCTCGGGACTGTTTATGCGTAGGTGGAGTTTTGGGTAGTAACAGAAAGGAAAGAGAGAAATATTGAACTTGTTGCTAAGCTTCTCTTTCATTGTTGAAATTGTGTTATGCTCTGTGTACATTATTGCATTTTGTTTTTTATTTAAACAAAACTTGAAGATAACATTGTTGCTGCACATATGCTTCTTGGTTTAATGATCTTCATTGTGGTAAATTTTCAATGCTTTGATTTTTGTGGTTAGGTAATGGTAGTGGAGGGCTGCTGGGTTTAGCTCCTGCATCTACATTTCCAAACCTGGTTAATCAAACTATGCCCAACATGCCAAATTACTCTGGATCAGTTTCAGGGGCATTCCCTGGATTGTTGGGAATGATTCCAGGGGTTGTTGCTGGAGCTTCTGGGGGTGCTATTTTGCCTGGCATTGGTGCCTCACTTGGGGAAGTTTGTCGTGATTACCTTAATGGGCGTTGTGCAAAAGTAGATTGTAAGTTGAATCACCCACCTCATAATTTGCTGATGACTGCCTTAGCTGCGACAACCTCAATGGGAACACTTAGCCAAGCTCCTATGGCACCTTCTGCTGCTGCAATGGCTGCAGCTCAGGCAATAGTTGCTGCCCAAGCCCTTCAAGCGCATGCAGCTCAGGTGCAAGCTCAGTCTGCAAAAGATTCTTCTGGTATGCTGTTCACATGCCAATTTTGGTTTTTATTGGTGGTATTTTTTCATTTCACTTGATCAAAGATCTCTCCTTGATTTTTTCATTTCAACTGTGATATTTTATCCCAGTTGTGTTTTACTATTTCCTAGTTTTTTCTTATAATTGTATTTGTTACGACAATCAGGTTCTCCTGAAAAGTCTAGTAAAGATGATGCATTGAAGAAAACCCTTCAAGTTAGCAATCTTAGCCCTCTTCTCACTGTGGAACAGCTAAAGCAACTCTTTGCATTCTGTGGCACTGTAGTTGAATGTACGATCACTGATTCAAAGCATTTTGCTTATATAGAGTACTCAAAGCCTGAAGAGGCAACTGCTGCTCTGGCGTTAAACAACATAGATGTTGGGGGGCGCCCTTTGAATGTTGAAATGGCAAAATCACTTCCACAAAAGCCATCGGTGGTGAATTCTTCACTTGCTTCGTCATCTCTTCCTCTGATGATGCAGCAAGCTGTTGCAATGCAACAGATGCAATTCCAGCAAGCATTGTTGATGCAACAAACCATGACTGCACAGCAGGCTGCTAATCGAGCTGCAACCATGAAATCTGCCACAGAGCTAGCTGCAGCCCGAGCGGCAGAAATAAGTAAGAAATTGAATCCTGATGGACTTGAAAGTGAAGCAAAAGAGGCGAAGCAAAAATCCAGGTTTGTTTTCTTCAGTGAATTATTTTGAGGATAACATATGCTTTTGTCTTGATCGTATTTCAAAACTTTTATTTCTTTTAGTTCTTTGTTTTTTTATTCAGGGAAGTACTAGTATTTTATATATATTTGAAGTAGGAATCATGAAGTCATTATGTTTGAATTAATGGTGTAAAATTTTGGCAAAACTGAGACAATTGTTTCTGTATGTTATTATGTCCAGGATTATGAAAGATACAGTATTTTTAGAAAACAGTTGCAACAACTTGCAACTGATGTGTCAATTTATTAACTATCCTAACTGAAACCCGGAAAATGGCGCTCATGAAGGACCTACATGCTGGCAATCATCTGAGCAATCTTAAGATGGTCCTGTGCTGGTCCAATAATATATATCTAGTATTATGTTAGAACACACTTGAAATATCTAAAGTCTATATGAATACTTTTTTAGCTACACAATACACGTTTTAGTTAATCATACCTTGATTGAGCATAAGGTTTTTGACAAATAAGAGATATTTCTTTTAATGAACGACATCCAGTTATTGAACTAAATAAGAATTTAGTTTCCTTACATCCAATTATTGAACTAAATAAGAATTTTATGAACCACATCCTTTGGAGATTTTGTGAAGGGGGAGATTTTTCATTAGAGAAGTAATGTGCTGTGGATAGAATTTCAACTGAAATACCTTGTTGAGCTTGTGATTTGATTATTGACAAGATACCCTCCTTGGACCAACAAGCTGTCCTGGATATTTGAACCAAATGAAGTTTCTTTATTCCTTGCTGGATATGGTAGGGTTATGTATGTGCATTTAGATGCTAAAAATAAACTAAGTATTGGGTAGAATAAAAATTAATTGCGTTTAGAAATATGTTGTTGATGGCCGGACAATTTTCAAGTCTATCATTGTCATTGATAACGGACTCATTTTTATTTTTAATTAAATTGTGGTGAAAAGTCTTGTTATTAATATTTTTTTAATTTATGCATGTTGTTGTCACATTCTGCTCTTTATAAAGTTTTCTGTCTAATCTAAGATTTAATTTCCTTTGGCAGATCACCGTCTCCCCCTCGTGGAAGATCTCGATCAAAATCAAGGTCTCCTATCAATTACCGAAGAAGGAGAAGATCTCGCTCTTATTCACCTGTGCGTCACTCTAGGGATCATCGTTCTCGGTCACCATTGAGGTCACATCATTACTCGAGCTATGAAAGGGAAAGGCGCTATAGAGATATTAGGGAACATAGTGATAGGTACAGAAAGCGAGATTTGGATAGATCACTTGATTACCGTTTATCTGCTTCTAGAAGGAACAAAAGTAGGAGTGTTAGTCCTCATACACGGAAATCATCTGTTTCTCCAAAACATCATAGAGACACTTCACCTCATAGAGGAAGGAAACAGTCACGTGCTGATTCAGGCTCTCCAAGCCGTCACAGAGGTAGGTCTTCTCCAAAGACTGATGAAAAAAAATTAAGAAACAGAAGGCGCTCAAGGTCAAGATCATCAGACGATAATAGGCTTCACTATAGCAAAAATGAAGAAATCTTGGATGGAAAATCTAAACAAAAAGAGAGAATTCGTTCCAGGTCAGTGTCTGTGGATGAAAAGCCTCACAGAAGGAGCCGGTCATCACCGAGAAAAGTGGATGAAAGTAGATCCAGATACAAAAAACGCTCAAGGTCTAAATCTGTGGATGATAAGCATGACTCCCCCGAGAGATTGGATAAAAACAGATATAGAAGATTGAGGCATAATGATAAAAGGCACTCTAGGTCAAGATCTACAGAAAATAGGGATCAGGCTGATTTTAGGGTGGGTGAAAGCAAAAATGAAAAGTCAAAACATCGTGATTCTAGAAGGGGCAGGTCAAAATCTGTTGAAGGGAAGCATCGCTCTAAAGATAAATCTGGTGAAAATAGAGATAAGAAAAAAAAACATCGAGATAGAAGGCGTTCAAGGTCAATATCATTAGAAGGTGAGCTGGAGAAAAGAGGCACTTCACCCCATATTAATTTGGATGAGAGAAATTTTGAACTGAAACAGTCCAGTTCAAAGTTCCCTGAAGGCAAGCATCACTCCAGTGATAAATATGCAAATAGAGATGAAAAATCAGATCATCAAAAGAAAACCCCACCTAAATCAAAATCAAAACAATTTGATGGGAGTGGGTCCTTCCAAGGAAATTTCGAGGATTATGAATCAAAGGGGAAATCACAATCTGATTCTGGATCTGCAGAAGTTAAGCATAATTTGAATGATGGAGAAGATACTACCTGTGAAGAAAACTCAAAACTTTCTGGAGAAGTCAAGGACTCAAGTACCCTTAATGATACTGAGATGCTGACCTCAGTGAATGGTAACTACAAGTTAGAAGGGTCAAATGAAGCTGATGATAACCCAGGTACAGGAAGTCTTGTCAAAAGTTGTTAATTTTGTTCAGTTAGTGTTAAAAATCTGAGAACCCTTTTTGATGCAGGATGGATATGCGTGGAAGAAGTGGGAAATGTAAAATATTAAGCAAACATGGCTTGGTAATGACTAATGACCTTACATATAGGAAGAGAAGTGATTATACATTTTCATTGCCTGTTTTTTAATACTTAGTACGTTCTGTGTTGCAGGAGTATTGGTTCCAAATGATAATCCAAAATTCTACCTCGCTTTCTGATAGTGCTAACAATATAGCTATTAGTACAGATTTCTGTTATTTGCTCTTGAATCAGAAGTATCTAAGGAGTAAGGATAATTGAAGCTCGCTACTTACAAATGCCTATCAGGAAGCAGCATCACCCAACGAAGACTGCTTTTGTTACTTGTCACTATATATCATGACTTTCTATGTTGAAGATTTCCTGAGCAAGATCTTTCCTAGGAATATATGGTTTCATGGGAGGGTTGCGATTCTTAGGATGATGCCTCCACTATTTGATTGGTCCCCAGATTATTCTCTGTTGGCTTATGAACATCTTCGGTTGTTTATTTCTTTTTTTTTGCAGGTCTGGTTGGAAAAGATCAGGTGTAGAATCCCACAGCTGTTGGTGTGGTTTAAGGTTTCAAGAAGTTTCCTGTTATAGTCATGATCAACAGTGCATACTGCTTGATTGATGTATGTTGGAATGTTATTTTAAGTATAATATTCTTTTTATTAAAGGTAATTTTTGCTATGTCTGGCTTTGATATTTTTTTTTAAAATTTGATGGTGTCTTAATATTTTTGGTTTCTAGTTCTTCGAAGATAGTTTAGACGGAGAAACCCTTTTAAACCAGTGTCCGATTATTTGCATCTAAAACTTGTTTGGCTAATGATTGCAATAATGTGGTAAATTGAAATTAGTGAAATTTTTTAGTTTGTCTCCTCATCGGTTATGTTTATATTCCATAGCTGGTATGGCCATTTTTGTATTATGATCTTGTTAAGTTGCGAGCATCATTATTTGATGTGGCCAACCATTGGCTCCGTTTTGTTTACTCATGTTTTGTGGTATGGTGGGCATGTTATATCCAAAACAAATGCAGGTTATTCTCATTGAAATCTGTTGGAGCTTTGAGATACAGTTATGCTGGGTTGATTTTTCTCTTGTGTAAATGAAGGTATGCAGCCAGATTCTGATGCTCTATGGTTTAGAGCATACTTGTTTTTCTTCTAGCAAGTTGAGAGCAATATGGGAGGCTTGTTAACTTTGTATTTTATATGAATGCATTTACTCTACGTATTGTTTTTCAATTTTTTTACCATCATCTGGTGGCTTATATTTTCCTACATTTTTCCCCATTTTCCTTTTGTTTTCTTTCTTTTTTATTTTCCCCCCAAGAAATCGTCATGGTTAGGTAAAGCTTCTATGTAAAGGTCAACTGAACCTGGATGTTGCTGCAATGAGTTTCACCATGTTGCGTTTGAGAATTGGCTGAGTTACAGTTTTTACTTATGTAAATGCTGAAATGCAAATGATTTCAACAGGTAATTCTCCGTGAAACTATTGGGTGGTTCATTTTGTGTAGCATCTTCAATTTAATTGTCAGTCTTGTCCGTGGTTTACTTAGTTCTTTATGTTGCCCTGTTCACAATAATGTTTTTCATTTTCATTAATTTTACAATTATTTGTAAATTGAGTGGTTTTGGGTGTCATCTTAATGATTGTGTTTAGTTTTTTTTTTTTTGGTTTTGAACTTGCTTGATTTGATTTTGATTTGGTGTCACAACTTAAATTCTAGTTTTAAAAAACATGAGCTTGTTGCTGAGTAGTGGTACAACTTTTGGATTTTTTCTGAGAAAATATTGTGGAACACATTTATCCAGTTGACTTGGTATGGTTACAGAGACTTATGATTTTAAAAAAATTAGAGTTTGTCCTAAGAGGTGCTAAAGAAATTCTGGGTTTTTTCTCCTTTTTTTAGGAGTAGGGTTTTTTAGTCTCGGTTGATCACAACTAAATTTCCCCCTTGTTTTGTACTCTTTTCTCCGTCCCCTGCCCCGTTTCTCCTTTCCCCCTCTCCTGCCATCCTTTTTTTTTTCTTTTTCTGGTTAGGTAAGCATTGGATATGATGATCTTAGAGCTGCTGCAAATTCTCTTCACCAGATGATTGTGTGAAGTATGTTCTTGGAAGTCCTATTGGTGTTTTAGTTTCCTTTCTTTGCACCACCTGGTGTAGTCACACCAATGTTATGGCTTCTCCAGTTGGCTCTTAGGCTTTACCATACAGTGTTTGTTCATAATTCTGCATGGTTTAATAGAATATTTTAACAATTTCAAGGTTGGGCTCGAAATGGGTAGGTACTGATCTAGGTTATTGTCGAATTCTGAATATTTTGATGCGTGGCATATGCAATGGGTAGTGGCTAATTGAGGAAACTGTTGGCACGTTGATGATCCAGGCTCTCGGCGAATATTTTGATCGAATTTCCCCCTCGAAAATAAATCCAAAATTTTTAGATTAAATTAATGTTGATCGCTATATTTCTTGGTTCATGAAGCACAACCCAATTTTAAAATTCGTGAAATTTATACTTTTATTCTGAAGTTGAAAAAGCTTATTAATAGCTATTGTTGTAGAGGAAATCTCTTATCAGAGTACTTGCGTCATTTTCGTTATGCGTGTAAATTTTATCGGAGTACTTGCGTACATTTTCCAAACGATTGTCGCTCTTCTATGGTAAATTTTATCTTGGCAAACATATTTAAACTGAGCTTGTTGAAGTTTTATTTAGATAAGCAACAGGAAGCAAGACTAAAATTTAAATCCCCATAAAATCTCCCGAAAATGTTTAATCAAATCACGAATGATGTTATAACCCATTTGTTGGATTAGGTATTTTTCTCTTTGACCCAGTTTTCAGTTGGTGGGCTGTAACAAATCTTTTCTAATTTTAGGTTATAAAAGCATAAATATTGAGATAATATAAGTTGGTGAGAAGTTATGCATTGCTTTAAGGAATTGTGGAGGTGGAGAAAGTTGAGTGTGTTTGGTGTGGTTGAGGAAGAAAGAGAAAAGTTATTACAAATGTTAGAACCAAGAAGTTTCTTATTGTATAATGAAGATTTTATTTTTCTAGATGGTTTCGTTTCTTTAATTTGTTATTAGATTATTCTTGAATCATTTTATAAGATTTGATGGTGGGGTAAGTTGCTGACGAATGGGGTACAGATGTTGGTGAGATTGGATAAGATGAAAGCTGGCCTATTATAGCAGCCACGTAACAATACCATTCGCAGATAGACATACATCTGCTCTCTCTTTCGTTTTTATCTCTTGATTTTATTTGTTAGATTTTAAATTAAAAAGAAAATTTTATTTGGAGTTTTCTTATCAACAATTTAGGTACTATCAAACGCAGAATGTTATAGGAATAAAAGGTAACAAAAATAAAACTATTTTTATATCATTATAAATTTAACCTATGTTTCATTAAATTTGTTTTTTTAATGTTTATATATATATATACACACATACATATTCTAAAATTAATTTTTAATCTTATTCTTTTACAGCAATGAAATTTTTTCATTTTTATTATAATATGATATATTGTGAAATATGTACTTATTAAAATGCAATAATATGAAATATGCAATTTATCTTGTGTATTGCATAGGTTAAAATATTTGTTAATCTTTAGAAAGTAGGATTTCATTTATATGATTTTCATAAAAATATTCATGTATCTAATAATATTGACATAATATTATCATATTTAAAACATACCTTTATCTAGAAATCAAGATCTCAACCATATTTTCTAGTGACTGTCTTGTGAGAGGTATAAAGAGCAAAGAGGAGTAAATATATGTATAAAAACTCTTAGGCTTTTGGTTGATGAAAATGATTAAAAATAAATTGGGTTTGTTTTATTTTAATATTATTTGTTATCCTATTTTCTCTTTTTGAAAATTTAAAGAAAGTTTCTTTATTTATTATATTTCTTTAAGAAAATTTATTTTATTTAATTTATATTTTTTGCTTTCTTTTTTATTACCCACCATTAATATTTTATTATTATTCTTTCGTTTTATATTAGTTTTTTTTTATTAACTTACCTGAACGTATTGACATGAGAAGATATGAACAAAATCCTATTATAATACCTATATTTATACTATAATTTTATCATGTTTGTTAATATCTTGTGGGCAGTAGTAGGCTCACAAAACCTTTAAATACTTCCTATAACAAACAAGGAGTAATCTAACTAAATACTCATTTTATATTTAGTTTAATTCATAAAAAATCTCTACTTACTTGCGTCAAAGTTTAATTAAGTGGGTTAGTAATTTGAATCATTCATGTATATATAACAAATAATTAAATATGTAGATCATTATATTTTATTATCAAATTATTAAAGTAATTTAATTAATTAAATTATGATTAACAACATATATGTCATCAAAAGTTTATTATGTAAAGGTCATAAGTAATATTTTAATTTAACAATATTTTAATTTGTTGTGGGGTCAAATTAAAATATCCAAACTTAAGAAAAAATAACTCTCAAAGATTATATAAAAGAGTCATAATCCTCATTTATAAACATGTACAATTATTTCTATTTCTTTCTTATTATTCCATTAAAAGAAAAAATAAAAAAGAAACTTAAAATACTCTATAGTTATGGAAAATCATATACCAGGCAATCCATACGCTTCCATTTACTATTATAAAAGAATTGGAAATTGCTTTAGAAATGAAAAGGTTTATATGCTCATTAATAATATATCTATGTTTGGATGCCTAATCTAACATGATTACGTGTATTTTTATTTGGAAGTTTATGTTTAAGATATTTTTTTACTAATGACATTATGAATTTGGGAGTAATTTGGCTTAAGATATATACTTGTTTTGCAAGTGAAATTTTGGATTTGGAGGTAATTAATAACTTCTACTGAACCCATTTTTTTCCCCCCTTTTTAGTTTTTAGTAAAAATTCAGGTGTAAATTATACACATTGTTCCCCGTGATATCACAATGGCTTCTCTTTATTTATTATGTATGTAGCGTACCATATATTTATAATACTTATAATTGTATTATGATTTCTAAGTCAATGATTGATGCTTTTTCATTTAATAACAATCCAGTCTCCTCTTAACTAACACCTAAATATTAATTTATTTTAAGACAATTATTTTTAATAGGACTTTTATTTCCTCTATAAAATGCCTTCCTATGTGTTAAGGGGTCTATTAATGCATTTAATATGTGATAATATTTTTAATAGGATTGGTTTTGAAAAACACATATGCAAAACAAAAATATCAAATAGCAATCTTTGTGCATAAAAACCCCTTCTTTATATATTGAAAAGGATAGAGCTTATGAATTAACTGTATGATCACCAAATAGATAACATAGAGTTCTTCCAAATGATTTAATTTCATTTAATTCTCAACTCACAGGTGTATCCAATAAAAATAAAAATAAACAATTCATATTTGTCCGATTTCTAACAAGATTTCTGTACCAAACAGCGATGATGTTATTATTATCTTATTTATTCAAGTGATTAAGATAATATTAAAAAGTATGTAAACTATCTGACAATCATATCTAACTTTTTTTTTCTTTTAAAAGAAAAAGTCTGATATGAAATACCTACTTTTAAAATTACCAGTGACCATACTGGATTTATCATTCTTATGTTATACTTGTACAAACTTCTTCAAAAAATCTTTAAGCATAGAATAAATCACCTTAAATTAGTTTTGAATAAAAGCTAATTTGAAAAAACTCAATTATAGTTTTAATAAAAAATATTTATGACGAAGTTTGCTGTGTTCTATTCTCAGCATATCTCGGCCTATCAATAATGCATTTAATTAATTTGAAGTATCAAGCACTCGTGATAAAAAAAAAAAAATCAGAACGAATACGACTAATATGTGATCAGAATTAAAAGTCTACTTCAATAATTTATATTGTTGTTTTTATGTATGTACTATTAATACTTTTTTTTTTCATTCAATTAAAATAAATTTTAAGGTAATTATCACAAATTTCAATTATTAAGGAGTTAGATGTAGGAGAGTGGGACTCCCACTTGTGATTATTAACGAGTTATGCTCGAATTTTTTGATTGCATCAAATAGTGAGGACGTGTATAATTTGAAAGGTCAAAACATTTAAGTGAGACGTGTAATTTAAATAAAATATATAAGTTGTTCTTTTTTTTTTCTTTTTTCTTTACATTTTGTTTTCTTTTCCTTTCTTCCTTCTTTCTTATTCCTAATTCATTTTTACATGTAACATCCCAAATTTTTAATAATATTAACACTATTATAAAAATCATCACGTATTTAATAAACTAAAACCGTTAAACAAAATACATACATGAAATGGTTATACTTATCTAAATATAATTATAATAGTAAAATATATATAAGAAAAAGGAAAGTTCAACTAATTTTTTTACACTTAAAAACTAAAGTGCAATAAGAAGTTTGTCAAAAAAGTATATACATATATTTTCATATAGATATATACATAACCAACTAAAAGTAAAATCCTAATCTATGTAGTCGATGAAAAACACTAGAAGGAGAGTTAGTTATGCTTCATCTATAAACGTTAGTCCGTGTAGATCGTTTATTGAACTAACTCAATGTTTTTCAAGAGGTGTTTAGGTAATACCTATTGAAGATATAACATATTGTTGATGACTAGTTGTTAACTTGAGTGTGTTTAAGGATAACTTCTATTATGAAGCAATCGTTTAATAGGTAGACTACAACACACACACAATTTTTATACTGGTTCATTCGGTAGAGCTACATCAAGTTCTCCTCTAAGTTAACTTAGAGGGTTTCATTAAATATTCAAAGAAGTACATCTGAGTGTTTTAAACCACTCCTGGTGTTCCTAGTCCTATTGAGTAACCATTGTTAGTTTTGACTAGTTAAGTTTTACTTACTCCTGATTCTGTAGTATTATTCACCACTCCTGGTTAAAGCTTTTAGTATCACTTTGATACACCTTCTAATTGAATTTAACTCACTTCTGGTTGTGAAGTACTTTTCACCACTCTTGGTATCCTTGATCCGCAAATAACCTCTAGTTACCCTAGACTAGTTGAGTATTCGTACCACTCCTAGTATCCTCAATCAGCGAATAATATTCCATTACCCTAAACTGGATGAGTATTCACACCACTCTTGATATCTCAGTCAATGAATAACCTTTCGTTACCCTAAACTGGATGAGTATTCGCACCACTTCTAGTATCCTCAGTCAGCGAATAACATTCAATTACCTTAGACTAGATGAATATTCGCACTACTCCTGATATCCATGATGATTAAATAACCTTTTGTTACCCTAAATCAATTAAGTATATCACAATGACTTGTCTTTTATGTTATTAAGTATTTAGCATAAAATATATTATAATACTTATTATTGTATTATGATTTATAAGTCAATAATAGATGTTATTTCAAATTTA